GGCGGCAGCAGCACAGCAGCAGGAGTCGTTGGATATTGTGAAGTCGGTGGCGTTGTGGTGGGGGAAGGGGAGAAGTCCGGTTGTGAATGTGGTGCTGGGGAAACTGCTGGTGATGTGGGTGTTGGTGAGGGGGAAGGCGCTTGTCTTGGTGGTGCGGTTGGTAGTGGTGTGGAGAAGAGTTGCTGGTCCTGCTGACGTTGCATGTCTTTGAGTTCTTGCCATCGGGCTTGGCATTGCTCAACGGAGAAACCCACTCGGCGGGCCACAGTGGTCCAGTTGGGACGAAGTTTTGGGTTTTCTTTGAGTTCGACCAGGCGACAGTCAGCGTCGCCGTCCCAAGCGTCCCAATCAGCCTGTCGGTTCAAAGGTTGTGGGGGTGGTTGCTTCCGCTTGCGTGTTGTGGTGGGTTGTGGATCAGGGGGTGTTGTTGGAGTGTCGTCTGAGTCGTGTAAGGGTGGTGCTGGTAAACGGTTGGGTGGTCTGGATGGTGCTGAGTCACAAGATGAGGTGGTGGATGGTAAACGTATAGGGTGGTTGGGCGGAGTTGGAAGTGGCTGAAAGTGTTGGCGGAAAGTGGGGTCCGCTTGGTGGCTGTGGTGGAGGAAAACCGTGTGAAGGTGTGCTACAATATCTGTTGCTTGTCGAAGCAGGTTGTGCACCTGCGAAAGTGCCACTGCGGTTTTGTGTATGAGAGTTGAGGTGTCGTTTTGTAGAGGTGTCGGTGTGCCGCTCATGGGTCTGAGATGTAGGGGTGTGCAGTGGTCAAGAATCGTCACAGGTTGCTGCAGCAGCGCGCCAAAGCAGCCGGACAGCGGCGAGTCTGAGGGAGCGCGTCATCCCGAGGCCGTGCATATGAATTAAGCGAGCATCAAATTCCCACAGGCAAAAGTGCGAGTATGCAATGCCGGTTGGACAATTGAGTACATGACTTGAAGAATCACTCTCCACGAGGCAGAATCTGACATGTGAAAGACTCTTTCAAAACAGCCGGTACAATTCAAAAAAGTTCTCAGCAAACAATGCGGAGCTAGAAAAATTGAGAGTTCAAAATGCCCGTGGCCGCTGCAGGGGGCTCTTTTTTGCTGCTACAGCAAAGGTTGGGTGGTGGTGTGAGACCAAAAGTGGATGTGGAAGTGGTAGTGGTGTGTAGATGTGTGGTAGTGGTGTTATGGGTCCGGTGGAGTGGAGTTGGTGGACCAGGCCAGTCCTTTGACAATGGCGTGGTCCGGGTGGATCACCCAGCAGCGGCCCTTCTGATGAAAGACCGCACCATGGTGGTCGTTAAGGAGGTTCATGGCGTGTTCCTCACCTCCAGAGGTATACTTTGTGGCAGCACCCCAAGCAAGGAGTGTGATGATAAGGGAATGGGAATTCTTGTGGAGTTGCCAGGTGTTGTGGATGATGCGGGCAAATTCGTTGTGGTGATGGGGTTGGTTGTGGGTGATGCGAACGCCCTGGGCAAAAAATCCAGGGTAGTTGGCAAAGTGGAGTGTGCTGGGTAAAAAACGGCCTTGGCGTAGAATGTTGGAAATGTTGCCGACGGGGCCTGTGTGGCCTGCGTTGATGTGGGCGACTTCCCGGTGGGTTGATGTGGCGCGGGAAACCGCAGGTGGCTCTGGTGTAGTGGCTTTGGTGTTGAGGAAGGGAAGTGAAATGGCGTAGTACTGGAATTGGTCGTATTGGTGAGTTGTGTCGTTCCACTTAGCGTGGGTATATTGTCGGAAATCGGTGATCTCCTTGTAGGTGATGTTGCAGTCTGTGAGGATATTGGCAATGTACTGGTGTTGTGGTCGGTTGGGATTGTCGAGTTGGGTGGCGTGGAATTCTAGCCATTCCAGGATTTGGTCTGCAGGTGTAAAGGTGTGAAAGTTGGGTGGAGGTCGCCAACGGTTGATTGGGCGACGGAGGACGGCTGTGGTGGGATATTGAGAGGGGTCCGGGTTGGTGTGTTCGGTGTTGGGGCGTAGATCAATGGGTTGTGGTGGCGAACGACTGCGGGATGGCGTAAGGCTAGATGTGTAGGTGGATGTTGAAGGCGACCGTCGTCGCCGGGTTGTGCTGTGGTGCTTGGAATGGTGGTGATGGCGATGTCGGCGGCGGTGGCGGTGGCGTCCTCTGTGGTGATGGTCGGACTTGCGTCGGCTCTTGTGGTGGTGGCGGCGACTGCTGTGTGGTGGTTGTGGGGAAGGTGGTTGCGGTGCTGGTGAGGCAGTGGTGTCAGGTTTGTCTGGTGCTGGTAGTGAAGTTCCCGGCGCTGGTGTGGCAGATACCAGCGATGGGGATGCTGAATGTTGGGATACGGTAGCTGGTGGAGGCGTGTTTTGGACTGGTAATGGATTGTCCTGGGTAGTCGTGGGGATGGGTTGGATCGGTGGTGTTGGATCCGATGGTAGCTGCTGTTGAGGTGGAGGTTGGGTTGGTGTTGAGGCGTTGATGGTTTGTGGAGGCGTTGGCGGGGGCAACGGTTGGAGTGGAGGTTGTGTGACGGGGGGAAAAGCTGAATAGGGTTGCCAAACGCCCTGGGGGATGGCGCATTGGGGGTCTGTGGATGGATAATTGGCAATCGCAGGCTGTTGCTGTGTTGGAGGGGGATGTGTCAGTGTAGTGGGGGGAGGAAGTTCAGCCGGTGGCGTGGGTTGAGGTGGTGGCAACAGGTAGGACGGGGGAGGTGCTGCTGTCGGAAACACTGGAGTTGGATGTGTGGGTTGCGGTGGCACGTGACATGGTTGGACAAAAGTCCAAGTGGATGGTGTGCCGTAAGTCAGTGCAGTGGCGGTAGGGGTGGACAACAACGGTGGTGGTTGAAAAGGTTGTGGTTGTGGGTGAGGGTATGCCGATGGTTGTGTCGAGGGAAAAGTGGGTGCAGTTGATGTTTGTGGCATCGGCCATGTGGGTTGAGGTTGTGTGGTAGGTAATGGTGGTGGCGTGGTGTGAGCGTAGGGCCACGGAAAATGCATGTCGTGGTCGTAGCTATGGCGCGGCGCGGCGCGGCAGCAAAAAGCAGCGGAGAAGTGCCGAGTTGTATTGTCTTGTTGTTGTTGAAGGTGTCATCTCTGGTGTCAGTGGTGAGTATGTTGTAAGGTGGTGCTAAATGTAAGCTTGTTAGTAGGTGTGTGTTCATGCATCTCGAATTAAGCTGAAGAGTTGTAATGCCCATCCTTGAGTTCTGTCAATGAAAGATTCGCGGCAGCAACATAGCGAACAGGGAAACACGCACATGATTGGAAAACATGAAAAGAAAACTGAATGCTGAAATCTGAGATCAAGAAGTTCGGAATCTGAAGGATTCTTCAAGAACCGTTTTTTGGCCCGGCGGCCGGTGTGGCGGTTGATTCTGTGAGGGTGTCGGTGCCTTCCTGTGATGTTCCAGTGATCGGTGGTGCGTTGGGGTGGTTGCTTTCCCATGCAAGAACGGCGCCCCTGTGAAGGGGATCACACTCAGCACCCGAGTGGGACGGCTGAGCAGGACACACTTCGAACTTGGATTTTCAGTTAACGCAATTGTCTCAATGGGAAAAAGGCGATGGAACGGCAAGGTGGAAAGGTCCGAAAACTTGTAGGTGTTTCAAAAAAAGTTGTTCCAGTCTGCAGAAAAGAACGGCGCGCTACGAGTCGGCTGCAAAGCTAAGCTGCAAAAAGCTCCGTGAGGTTTGGGGGAGGAAACGTGAACAACCATGGAAGCAAACAAGAGAGATGGGAACAGCGTGGGCAAAAGTTCAAACTAGCAGGTACACAATGCGGCGTCCCGCATTGCTTCACGACCGATCCATCACTGTCTTCGTTGGGCAGTGAGTGATGGTGGTCCACTGCCCCCCTGCCTGTGTGAAAGTGGTGGGGTAAGACCCTTTGTCCAGGGTGGGACACACACACACAAGAAAAAACACACACATAAATAGAAATAAAATAAAAGTAACCTCTGGTTTGGCACCAACGATTCGTGATGTGCCACCTCCAAAACCTCAAATATCTCCTGGATTTCCGCTAAGGTCCAGGTCCGCCCAGGTCCGTGACCGCTAAGAGTGACCGCTTCGAACCCCGGATCTATCAGAAAACAGGACGTTAGCGCTGAGAGTCCTGTCATGGAACTTCCTGCTTGTGGAAGCACATCAGTGGTGAAACTGGACAGCTCATTCTGTTCAAACATGAATTTAAGAAGGATGTCGGGGGGTCTTTTCGAGGCGAATCGCGTTCCAACCGCAGAAGCCTTAGGTTCAAGGCCGACCAGCAGAAGCCCTTGGACACGCCACGGACGAGAGAGGCGCCGTTGAGGTTGAGGGGTGTTTTTTCGGGAGTTGGAGGTCATGGGCCCATGGGCCTGCCTGTGGATGAAAATGGCTGAGATCTGAGATCTGAGGACCTTCATGTCGTGTGGTTTTCTGGGAAGAACTTCCATCCAGAGTGAAGATCCATCGAATCTGGGACTATACGCTGTGATCCTCTGGTTTCCACCAATAAAAAAGGCATCTGATCAATTCTTGGATGAAAATAGGGATGAAACTAGGGAGACCTCCCAGTTCGACCTCCTGGAAGAAGGAAAACAAACCAGTCCAACCATTGGGCCAGTGGGTCTTCCTATTAAGATGCACACCCAGATGTAGATGATAGATGTGGCTGGAGTTCTAGACCCCCAAAGGCCCAAAGGCCGGGCCTTCCTTTGCTGGCCATCTGAACTGGCCATCTGTTACTTGCAGGAATCTCCCATATCTCCTCACGCAGTGGATGAATGAAATCGTGGGTAGAATAGACCCTACTACGTCCTACCCAGTCAGTGGAAAACCTTTAACCCTTTTTTACAAGGTTGGTTTCCCCACCAAAGACATCAACCGGTGGAGAGTTGGGTTCACCTTTTTGGTTTTCTCCAGAGATCTCCAGCTCAAGGGACATAGACCGACGAGGCCCGAGCTCGGCCCGAGCTCTCCACTCAGTGACGTTCAAACCGCTCTAGGCATGCAGGCGTTTGGGCCTCGTGCCAGAAGATCTACAGTTCGGGGCCGCAGAGTATGTCGGGGTGGCGCTGGTGTGGGAGTCGCGATGTGAAGGAGTTTGTCTTGGAGTCGCAGGTGTAGAAGCTATTAATGCTGGCCTCCAACCTACTAGCGATGGCCTCCAACCTACTATTTCATACAGCTGTCTCAACAACACCTACAATGTTCGAAGTCCAAGCACAGTGACAGCAGTAGAACATCGCTACATTGTTATAATGTTACCTTGTGCTGCCTTTATTGGTTACTCTTTGTGGTTCACTTTCTGGCACTCTACGGAAGCAAGTACGGACTGGGAGTTCCACAGAGACCCTCACAAGCTAAAGCAGCCAAAGTCAAAACGAGTGCAGAGTCCAACCATTCAAGATCTCGTCGTCGGCCATTCTGCATCCCACGTCGTCCACCCTCATCCCACGTGTTGTGTCGAAGGTCGAAGGTCGAACGGAGCCATTCCTCGCTCTGCACGGCACCGGAATGGCCCCCGCAGGATCCGATCCTTTGAGAGTTTCCACATCCCTGGCGACTTGAAGGCCTGGGCCGGACCTGAAGGCCTCACGTAAGGCAAACGAAGGCAACGGATGAACGCGCCTTCCGATGTCGAAGAAGGAAGAGTTGGAGGACTTGAAAGAGGAGTGTTTTTGTGGGGTTGTGACATAAAAAGCACCCAGTCAGGGTGGGTATTTGTTATGTAGGTGGTTTGTGAGGTGCTTCTTCGGATCTTTTCGGTTCAGGCCGGACACGGCCTTCGCATCCGGTGCAGAGATCGGGTTCCTCCCAATCGAACTCTGCCGGCTTTTGCAGCAAAGAAATCACCACAGAAACATCGATGAAAACGTACACCATGTGACTTGGTGGGAGGTCAATCACAGCTAGTTGTGTGGTCTTCGGCCATCTGCAGAGATCTTTCTGTGCTCAAGGAGAAGCACCAGCTTCGCTTTGAGCACTATGAGAAGAAGCGAAAGGAGAACCTCCGGCGCCGAGACACGCGTCGAACCTCTCGCCGTGGGTCTTGCTGGCTCCACGCAAGCCAACCACGCGAAGAACACCGCCGCGAACCTGCGAGACCAACGGCCGCACTGGGGTTGGATGACTTCTGAGAACATGTCTCACCAAAATGTGAATCCAATGAGCCCAGAACTATTGACTCATGAACTATAACACTCCAGGTAGTCAATCCATCCACTACCACTTCGGGGATTTTTGTAACATGAGTCATGTTTCCAGGACTCTCAGGGGAGGCATCGACCCGCAGGGGGTCCGGACCCGAAGCAAACGCGCGCGCGCGCGAAAAGGTCCTAGTAGATTCCTTTGCTAGTAGCATCGCTAGTAGTAACAAGTGCCTTACTGGTAGTAACAAGAAGCTAGTAATTACAATTCTAAAATTAAATTCTTTTTGTTACCACTAGTAAGGCACTTGTTACTACTAGTAAGGCACCTGTTGGTACTAGTAAGGCACTTGTTCTTGGGTCCGGAGCCCGGATTCCTAGGGCCTCTCTGGGCCGTCTGAAGGTGTTGCTAGAGGTCGCTTCATCTACTAGGGATGAGGACCCTCAACCTTGTTTCAAGATGTGGGGGTCTCACAAAGTTTTGGCCCTTTGGCTTCCCGAGAAACTGGCCAAGCGCTGAGTCGATGAAGACATTCTCCTGCAGACACCTGCACCAGACATGTAGATTGTAGACAGGTCGAATGTGTGGGCCAGTGTGGGGCCGGCGTTCTTTTTCACATCGAGCTTTCAAGTTCAAGCTCTTCCCATTTCCACCTCACTGCTCCTCACATGGGCTCCTTTGGGCCATCAGACGTCTTCCCTCTTTTTTCGCCAGGAACGCTTCTCACAAGTCTTAGCTGAGCGGGCGAAGGTGGGGGAGACACGCACGCGAAGAGCAAGCGCCGCCCGCCGCGGCGTGAAATCGCGCCGCCGCCAGTGGTTCGCGTGCGATCGCCGCAGGTCATCGCCGAGAACAATAAGAAAGGCGACCTACCGGGAGCCCAGAGCGCGCAGGCGGGAAGGAGGGAAGAGGCGGTGGGGACGGAGGCGGTGATTCCTGATTCCTGAGTATCAACGGCTGTTTAGCTTAGCCACTCATCCTATTCCCTCAGACTCTCTTTCGGATGACTCGACACCTTTTGACAGGAATGGCTGACCGGACTGTTGATAGTTGTGATTTGTAGGCTTGGTTTGCTTGATTTCCTGTTCCTGCATGGCTTAATGGATCAAAACAACAAAGCCCCATGTTTCATTCGGATGTCTTATCTTGTTGGCTTGATCAAAGAGTTAGTCTTTTCTCTTCTTTCCACTTCCATGCTCTTGGGATAGACCTGAGAAACTGTGAACGATAAGCTGGAACACATGTCCCCGAACGCATGTTGTTGTTCAATGAAAGGCAGGGGATGGGACCAGGTGGCTTTGGCTCATTTGTCAGTGACAGGAGTCCAACCGCATCGCTTGTTTCTTTTTGCCAGTTCCTTTCCATGTTGGAGTCCCTCTTCGAGAAGGAAGCGAAGCGTATGGAGATCGACATGAAGGCCGCTCTTTGATGAGTCGTATGAAGAGTTACATGGAAACGAGACTGGAGGGTAACATGGAGGATCCTGCCCTCCAATTTCCCTCCAGCAGATGGAAGTGGAATTGTGGTGGCCCTTGTCAAGACGAGTATCCACACACGCGCACACGAAACAGAGGGTTTCCCACCTTCATGTGTGTGTGAGAGTCGGAGTTTAGGTCCAGAAAAAGACCCTTCGAGCACCACCTAGGTCTGCCACATCAACAGGGTCAATAAAGCTCGTGGTTGTCTCGCGAGTGCAGCAATTTTCAAGATTTACGCTTGCACCATCATTAAGCGGTCGAGGGGTCATTCTCCACAGCTGGAGTTCAGAATTCTTTTATGTTGAGTCTCATCTCTTTCCCCAAGGGGCATCTTTTAATGCCCAAAAATAGCATGGACCCTGACAATGCCTGGAAGAGTCTTCTCCTCTACCAACCAGTGGTTTCAGGGTCCATGGGATCTTCTTCACGGCGGTACAGTACTTCACAGGTCACCACCTGCGGCTTTTGAGTCAAAAGTGGAGACCTGTAGAGTCAGGTGCTGGTACTCACGTGTCTATTTTGGACATCGCCGTGTCCACTCCGGCATACCGTGCACCTGAGCACACATCGAGCGAAGTACACAAACATTGTAACATTGGGAACATATTGTTCTCCGAGTAGACATTTTTTAGTTTTCTCTACTTGTCAAAAAGCACTCAGGGAATCCTTGGAGTTCCCACCAGCAGTTTGCCAAACCAGACAGATCACCCCCAGGTTGATCGTGCTGTTCACCTCCTTGGCAGGGTTTTGCGTAGAAAAATAAGACCACGCACTGGCACAAACGATCGAAGCTTCACGAAGGACCATCAGATGAGTGAAGTAGTGGATCCTCCTGTTGAGTTCGTTGTGGATCTGAAGAATGGTCGCGGAGGACGCGCATCATTCTCCCGACACTGTGGATCGACTCTTGGGACCATTCGGTGTTTCCAGATGGAGGGGCAGAGGTGGGTTAGAGGTCCCCGAAGTCCACTCCGCCTGGCTGGGTCTTTTCGGAAACCACCTCTTTGGAGCTTTTGGAGAGCATGTTGGTGTTTTTCCTCTGGTAACAGATGCGGCAGTCTGGTCAATTTATGAGTCTTTTGTTGCTATCATGAATCAATCCTTTATATTCTTGCTCTGTTACATGCAAAAGGCAGGTTTTGGGCTTACAGCCCGCTGAAACCAACCCGCAGCGCTGCGTCTTGCCAGGGACAGCTGCGCCAGCATAGCTCCTTGGTGAAGGCGTCCGACGTGCGGAGATGGCCGTAGACATGGTTGGACGATATCTCAGCCAGCGCGGAAAGTGTGGCAAGTGGAAGCACTAGCTAAAAACCACCTCTGACAGAGCAGAACGATCGAGAACGGCTCCTGGAAACCATAGGAAGATATTGGAAGTATATATATATATAATATATATATATATGTATATATATACAAACCACAGTGGTTTGGTTGGCCCCAGATAAAGATGTCTTTGCCGATGCAGTCACTCACTTCAAGCGATGCAGTCACTCCCAGCACTTGTTGATCACTAGCTGAACCCACTAGTGGTGCACCCGAAACCCATGAGCTGGGCTCGGGGTTGGAACCCACGCGGTGGGGCCCAACAGGCGGAGAGGCCTCAAACCTGCAGAGGGCGGACATGCCGAAGAACCCGCCTGGGGAAGAGATGATCTGTTTCTGCCGATTCCTGGGGCCCTCCAAATTCCAAGTTCGAAAACCAATGAAGCAGGTCCCAGGAATGGGTTCTTGATGTTCCGATTTGTTTATAATTGATGTTCCGATTTCCTTTGTGTTCCGATTTGCAAATCCAAGTTTTCCACCAATGAAGCCAATCACAAAGAAACCAAGTTCGATACTGATCTTCGGCCGGCCCAGCATCCCATAGCCATCACCCGTAACGTCCACTGGTGGAGTCGCTTTTTCTCCTTTGTGGATGCGGTGTTGTAGCTTGATGGATCGGTTGCCTTCCCGACACGAACTGTTCAGAACATCCGTGGTTCCCCCGAACGACCAGTTTTCAGACTCAAATCGCCTCGTGTTTTGGGGTGATGAATTATACTTTGTCCGAACTGGGTCAATTCCCTGGCACGGGGAATCAGCACCGGTCCTCGGCCCCGCACGAGACGGACGTCTTCCTCCTACTTCCGCGCCCTCCCCCCCGCGCGGAAGTCTTCGTCTAAACACGGACGGAGTCAGTGGAGGTGGAAGACCGTTAAACATGCCTAGCGCTTCCTGTCGGGGTGCCCTGGAGTAGGAGACCTGTAAGTAGTGTGGAGATATCCAGCCAGGTGACCCCGAACGGAAGCAGCTGGTATGCAAACCGCCAGGAGAATGAGGAGCAGATTCGAAAAGAAGGACAACTTCAGGAGAAGATCCTCCAAGGCGATCAGAGAAGGCCTTCCCTTTTTCCTTTTTTTTTCATCCGTTCGCCGTGATGGGGGTTCGTCGTCGTGACTGAAGAAGAGGCTCCTCGCGGTGCGGAGGGGCTCTTTATTCGGGGCGCACCGCGGTGCGGGTGCTTATTCCCAAGTGTGCAAAGCCCAGATGGAGTTGAAAAGAGCAACGTCTTGCAAACCTCAAAATCAATGTGTGCTCGAAAATCTACAAGTAAAACACTTGAGTCACTGCCCCTAGGGCTCCAAGGACCTTCTGAGAAGGTGTTTAGGGTTTGGTGGGTCCAAATACCTTCTGAGGATGTACTTGGAGCCCTATAGGGTTCAGAAACTCAAAACGTGCTCACTGCTATTTGTCCACAACTTCTCAATGTGTCACGGGTAACATTCTAGAAAACCGCAGCTGTGACCCAGGTAACCCTTCATGGGATGAACAAATATCAGAACTCATGAACTGAGGAAATGGTCGAAGGGGGCGAGATTCTTGACCACTCCCACCCCCCCTCCATCTGGAATAGTGACCTACATTGGGTGCGATTCTGCTTGGGGTACTGATTCTGCTTGCTCCTGGTGTTTCTTCTTTTTCCGGGGCGCGTGGCTGCGGAGTCGGGAGCTCGCGGTCGCGCGTCAGGGAGCTCGTGATGCAGAAGTTGGATGAAAAAGGAAAGCTCTCGAGGCTCGGGCACGCGGCAGGGTGACGCGAAGGGTTCAACCCAGTGTACTGAAACACAGTGTTTGTTGAATGCATGCCGTGGCATACGCCATGATCGTCGCGATGCCATCATCCAATCTTCCCCCGTAGTTGCGAACATCACGTTGAATCTCTCCGAAATCCTTTGAACCAAACCCTGCTCATTGCCGCATGACAACATTACCTCAAAGAGCAAGCTCTGCTCATCCCCCTGGCGATGTGTCGCGCCGTGTCCCCTTAACGACCGCTGGAGATGGTCGTTCGGGATCACGGGGGGGGGTCAATGTCCAGAAAACACCTGGCTCAACGTGCATATCCTTACATAAGCAACGTGGTTTTGTGTGACCACGTCCAGTAAAATGAGCTCCAGTAAGACCTGTATGATGACCTCTAGGGTCCGTCGAACGCGTCACGCGCCAGGGAGTTGTTGGAGAAGAAGCACCAGCAGAGCAAGGACCTGTGGAGAACTGACTGGTGTGACTCCTGGATCTCAGGGAATGAAGCCCTCAAGACCTTGAGATTCATTCCCAGGGTCTCCAACATACTAGCGATGGCCTCCACCTAGTAGCCTTCTTGTTACTAGTAGTATGGCCAGGAGCTACCAGTAGCTTCTTGTTACTAGTAGTGATGGCCTCCAACCTACTAGCGATGGCCTCCACCCTCTTCTCAGGGTGTCTTCATACAGTTCAGGTTTTCTTTGATGCCGAACTCACAAGGAGAACGGAGGCTCCTGTGCAGCTGTACGGTGTTGGATAGAAAAACCGACACAGGAGAACTCCTCTTTGGGTTTGTCTTAGAACACTCCTCCAGATTCCCAGTTCTATGACATGGGATTTCCATTTGCAGTGCAACACATCATGGCAAGTGGAACATGGCCGCTCAGACTCGACATGTTTGTCCTCTACACATGTCCAGTGGTGAACTCCACTTCCATGATGACTTCAGGGAGTGGAGTGAACACTCTGATAGGATCGAAGTGGATCAGCACCAAACCTCGTGTCACTTCTGCGTTTGTGGCTGTCAGTGGCTGTCAGGAATTACAGGAGAAGCTCGAGAAGGACCACCAAGAGAAACAGGTGGCGACCTCCGACCCTGTGTTCCCAATGAATATCAATGAATATCCAACAACCTGAAGGATTTCCTGTGCACACAGAAAATGAGTCCTGTGCACACAGAATTGATGTTTTTTTCGGGTGGGTGCTCCACGGAACTGTGGAGATCCAAGTCAAGTGGTACCATGGCTTCGTCCCCCCGAACCAAAACATGGTCGCTGGAAGTGTCCGAACGAAATCGATCTGCCCCAGTCGGAACCGAATTCGTGTTCGCTCGGTTTCACCCACCACATCCACCGTCCTCCTTGCACGACCCAACCGTCGCGTCCCGACGCCCAGTCGCTGACGACTTCGCGCACCTCGCCAGTCGCCAGTCGCCAGTCGCCAGTCGCACTGGGCTCGCCCGGCTCGCCCCTCGCGGGGTTCAGGCGTCCTATGCCAAAGAGATGCTCGCGGAGGAGGAGCGGCTCGCCAGGCGCCGTCCCGGCCGCCGGTCGGCCTGGATGACCGGCGTAGCGGCGTGGTGCCGAGCTTCTGAAGATTGGGTAGTTAGCACCGTTCAGTCTGCACAGGTCAGTGGTGATATCTACGAATATTTTTCTTCTTACCTTCCTTTGGTGTACCTGTTGCTCAGACTTATTAGACCAGTAGGTAAAGCAATTCTGCACTAGACTTGACGGTCACCTAGGGTGGATTCCTTAACTAAGATTATTAAGAGTATATCACATATTCTAATCGATGCTCTATTAGCTTTTGCGCTTTTCTCTAGGGAGGGAGAGACATCCCTAAAGGTCTTACAGACCTCGTTTGACTGGGTCCGGTCATGCAAAGCCAGTAACTACTCAATGAGATCAAGGACCAGGTTTAACTTAGTCCTTGGATTTGTAGGGCATTGTAGGGCTTGTTGAATCTCTTTTTTCACGGATGATTCCATGCACGTCTGGGGCGTGACGGGCGTGACTTGGACGCCTCGTTCCGAGAAGAGGAAGAAGATCTGCACCAGAACAGAACCTGTGAGCTCACAACCCAACCCATATATTGGTCCAGGTACCCTATCTTTCCCTGTAAATTTTGTTGAACATGATTCAGTTGGTTTCAACAAATATCCCGACATCCCTGGCGGCACCTTCGAACAAACACCCCTTCCTGGCCTTCACGGTTGGTTGCTTCTGCTGTTTTCGACAGGTTCATGGAAGAGCGAAAGGTGCTGAACCTGGAGAAGACGGCCATCTTCCGTGAGCGCGTCCTGCAGATGAAGGCGCGCCCTGCAGTTTTGGGACACTTTCTCCCTATTTCTCTCTTATACAACCAACTAACACTAGCATCCCTGCCAGGTCTCTTCTAGAGGGTTTTTGGGCCTGCGACCCAGTCTCAATTGGTGAGCTGTGGGAGGATTCAGGTCGTAGTCACCAATTAGCAGGTGTCTGGCATCCCCAAACATGGGGTGCGTCATCCTTCCTTTTTCATTCTGTAGAAGAAAAGGCTGGCCGCTCCAGCTTAGCCTATCTACAAGATTGCGACCGTGGAGCACCTCGCCCCAGCTCCGGGGTTTGGCATCGAGCGCAGAACTGGGAACCCACCAGGAACTCGGCACAGAACCAGAAGATCCTTGTCCGATGAATTGCGGGTGCATGCGGGTGCTGGGAGGTCCTCAAGTCCAAGTCCTTGAGCTGTCATGATCCGACCTGGAACCGAGGTTGGTGGGATTCCCAACACGACGAAACACGGATCTCGGAGAGGTTTGTTGGGGCAGGATTCCGAACACCTCTTAACGCAATCATGGGATTGGTCATCATCCCACAAAACAAAAGCCGTGGGATGGTGCCTTGTTGATGTGGGTTGGTTGGTTTTGTTTGGTTTTAGGATCCCGTAGGCGTAGGCTGGCAGTTTGTTGGTTAGTTGGTTACTTGGTTATGTTAATTGGATAGTTGATTAATTAATTGATATTAATTGGTTAGTTGTTTCCGATGTTGGTTGGTTGGCTTCTTTTGGGATTCTCCCAACGACCCGGGGGATCCCACCAGGAGAAGACCGAGCTCTTGCAAGAGGCGGGCCGCGCGGTGGGCTGAGAGTTCCTACACCGGTGCTCGGGGCGTAAATCAGTAATGGGTAGAGTCTCCCCTTCCGATGAATCCTTTGTTTTTTTCCCAGTTAGTTGATAAGCAAATCCAAGTAAAGCAGCATCTTCGATGTTCCTCAAATCAAAAAACCAGTGAGCTGCTGATGAAAGCCATGAAGCACATGTCTTCGACGAAAACGCTGGCGCTGCTTCCATCCCACGACACTCGGATGGGGATTTGGACCGATCGGAGTCGAAGCAATCCAGTTCAGGGACCGGTAATTCAGCTGTGAAGGGAACTTTCTGGGGTGGGTCTTATAGTCATCATGGCTGGGGATTGGAGACACCGTGTTTTGAGACCTGTGTGTCCAGATCTATATGGCAACATTGTGACTTGCGACACAGTTCAGTCAGGGCCCGAAAAGACAATGAGTCATACAATGTGAGCTTTTTCTGCCGATTTTCATGTTTGTCCTGTGCCGTCCAGTTGTAGGTGATATTGTCAGAGTTGATTGCAACATGTGCCCCCTAGAACTCGAATTCCTCCATACTGAGCTAAACACTTCTGCCCCAAAATTTGAGCACGGCAACATGAAGGAAAGAACAGTGGACCACCTCAACCAGCCATCTAAGCCGCCTAAGCAAGCCGCCATCTCATCTTCTCATCTTTCCGTCCTCGGTCCGTCGCCGTCCGCACCAAGGGCGTCGTGTGTCGCGTCGGCAGGAGCGCCGCTTGGAAGGCGAGAAGCGCCTGCAAGACATCGAGGCTCCGTCAGAACGACGGCGTAGGTCCGCCAGGACCCGGTGGACCGAGAGTTCGTCCAGGGGACTGGAGACATGACTCTGTAGACGTAGACATGGACCTGGCCGTTTTATTCAGACGTTTTTCCTGCAAACAGCAGGCTTTTTGGGATGAAGCACACTAGACACTACTTGAGGCTCACCGGAGCCGACTGTCGGGCTTTTACGTGCGTGGTCGAAGGTGTGTTTGGTCGAAGGTGTGGTCGAACCAAAGCACAACTAGCTTTTGAGAAGGCAGATTCCGCCACGAAAGACCGTGATTCTGAATCTTCAGAGCCAGAACAAACCTTTGATGCCTAACGTCTGAAGCCAAGGATTTTTGCCTTGCGACCGGAGAATTACTTCCTCCAAAGTGGTTTCGGAACTTCACCTGAGTTGATTTGGATGTAGATCCTCTTCGAGAACAACCGCCAAATCGGATATATGCCTTTTCGATTCTGGAACAGTACGTAAACGCCCAACGGAAACCGTTCGCACTGGGCTTTCCCCCGAAGGCTGGACGGACCGCCCGCCCCCAATTCGTCCGATCGGCTGAGGGATCGGGTCGACGGTCTCGAGAAAGGGGGAAGCATGTGGTTCTTCACCGAAGGCAGCGCCAAGAAGGAAGTCAAACGAGTGCCGATGAAGTTCTCCACTAAACTCGTCATGAGTTCGACTATATAGTTCGACTCAAAATGATGACTGCCGCCGGAAAACGTCCGCAAGCACTCCCGGAACAGGTGAAGATCGACAATGTGGCGAAGCGTCGCGAGGAGGAGCAGAAGCAACGGCAGCTCCGCAGCGAGGCGCGGTGGGAAGCGGTTAGCGGTTAGCGGTTTGGCGCTTTGCTTCGAGAGCGGTTTGGTATGGTGGAGAGCCAAGGTGGTGCCCTCCCAACTCCAAAAACGCGAATCACAGGAGCAGCACTTGCACTTGATGGATGTTCGCGAAGCCAAGAGCCGCATCGATCGCGTGGATGGCTACAGGCGCAACTAACCGTTGGCGAGGAAGGGGGGGAACCCGCCGTGGAATAAGAGCGGAAGAAAGTCAAAGGAAGCCCAGCATTCGAGGGGAGAAGCCGCCTCGCTTCTTTGTGATCAACGTCTTAGCTTGGAATTCCCTTCTCCAGGACCCACAAGCTCCTCTCGGAATGAACCCAAAAGCAACATGATGTTTGATATAGATCCGAAAGTCACCTGGCCTTCCAAGATGTGACACATCAAAGCGTTCCAGCACTCCTTTTCCTTCGTCTCCGAGTCTATGACGGACCGTTCCAGACTCCCCGAACGCGACGAGCGGAACGAGCGGGTCTCGCCCAGCTCATCGCGCCAGTTGAGCTGCCAAAAGACGGGATCTTGACTGTGCGGTCTGCGCTGCACTGCGTTTCCTACCCAGCCAGTGGGCAACCTGCAAGAACCTTTATTGAGGGATAGGCTTCCCCACTAAACAAGAACAGGTAGCAAAAGGTTAACCTTATAATACCTGATATATGTTCTAGGGAAACTGAAGGAGAAGACCCCTGAAGACCCCTGGTGACATGTGTCGAAGCCAAAGGAGGTTAGTTATATAGTTATAGTAGTGGACCAAGACCTGACATGGTGACATCCAGCAACCCAGTCATAGAACCCAGTCATAGTGGTGAAATTCCAGCATCCTAGTGGGTGGTGAGCAAGACCTATCAGATCTGGGAAGTAGATGCCAAAGTTCGGGAACGTTGGTTGACATGGTGCAAGAAGCTCTCAGCTTGTAAGAGTCTAGAAACACATTTGACTGAAGATGTGTGGGGCAGAAGTCTGGGAAAGCTTGTCCTCAAGATGAGCTTCAGAAGACAAGTCTGGAAATCTAATGGTTTTGGTTTTGCGAAACATGCAAAGCACAGTGGTGGAAACCCTGACCACCAAGGAGGGTAAAATGATTCACAACCCGATGCTTGCCTTTTTCAACACCTGCTTTTTGTGGTGCGACTTCTTGGAAATCTTTGAACCTCGAAGAAATCAGCTGCTATCTGCTATCAGCAGCGTTGGTGATTGTCCTCCACGAATGACATGCAATCCTCTGCCACCGGAGGGGTGCTCAACCCCCCCCACGGTCGTCCACGCGCGTCCGCGCTGTCCTCGTGCGTCGGCGTAGGCGTCAAGAGCTGCGGGAACAGATTCACAGCCCTTTGGAGTGATGCAGAATTTGGGAGTGGAACGCCAACAGAAACTGGTTTGGGGTCCGAAAGCTCCACCCGGTGGAATGAATGGATGGTGACCATGCCTGGGAGTTCGATTTGGTGAGTTGAGACCAAAATGCCCTTCGTTCGCACCGGCACCGGTCCCGAGCGCCGGTCGTCGTGCTGTCACGGTGGTCCCGAGCCGAAAAGGCTAGGGTGACAGCTGGGAGCTAGTCTCCAGCGGAGCCTGTCTGAAAAGGGGAGGTGACGACGGATGGCTTCACCGGTGACGACGGATGGACGACGACGATGCCTTCACCACACCATGGCCTGAATGGCCTGAAACCACACACTGATGCTGAAGAGTGGAATCCTGATAGGCTGGAAACTGGATTACAATCACGATCCATCTGATGAAAACAGCACGGTCCGGGTGTTGTGCCGAAACAGCGTCACCAGGATGCCCTTCTTCTAGTTTTTATTTTCCTTCTCCCAGAAGTTCCGCAGACTCTCAGGTTAGAGGCCATTGCTTCTAGGTTGGAGGCCATCGCTCTTAGAAACAAAACAACATGAAAAGGAAGAAAGGTCTAATATAGTTGGAGGCCATTGCTCACAGACTCTCCCCCCTTTCCTCGGCGGCAAACCTCCGCACCGGCCTCCGCTGGGCCCGCCGGCACGGGCGCCACCACAGCTGGGCCTTGCCGCTCCGCCTTCACCGAGGCAACGTGGAGCGCATCGAAACGCTTCTGGCGCTGAAGGATCAGCTGCTGGACCAGCGCAAGGCGCCGCTGCATGGTGCCAGGGCCAAGGTGGATTGCCGGCTGCTGGCGAACACCTGTTGACTCCAGCAAGAAGGCCACCAGCTTAGTTCTTGGGGCTTCCATCCATGTAGATAACTATCAAAATCTTAAGAAGCCATGAGGAAGCTATGAGGTGAACAAGTGTGTTTGCTTTAGGACTCTTGGCATGGTTTGTCATTCTTTGCAAGTCTGTGGTAGTTCAGCATTTGGTGATAAGTCTTCGATTCTTTCTACATCCTTTGACCCTTCAAACCATCACGACGAAGGACCCCTTTTTTCTGCTCAGTTCGAATGTTCAATTCAGTCAGAAGACCCATCGCCAAAGACGATTCTCCAACCTGAACATCAGCGAAAGTATTACACTCGAGGCATTTTCTTCCGTTGTGCGTCTACCCATGGAACCTGGATTTTTCAAATCGAGTGTTCCTGGTCCAAAACTGAACTTGTGGATCTCCAGTTCTTTTGACTATATACTATGAACAGAAAGTCAGCAATGATCTTAAGCTTACTTCAGTGATTGTCTTTCAATTCAGTGATGTTCTTTAACAGTGATTTTTTGTGAGATATTTGTTGCGCCCCTCAGCCTTGCTTCTTTTTCCTTCGTTTTGGTTCGAGCAACAAGGTCTACAAATGTGAGTGATTCCCCTGGCATTTACTATAGTTCAGAGAATCCTTCCAATATATTCCAATTCTCCCCTTTAAGTGGCTCAACCTTCCGTTTTTATTCCAAGAGAAATGCATTGGGATGTCGAGAAGCTGGGAGCAGAGGTTGAAGCATGGGCATCAAGCCAACTCGGTGAGTAGCGGGACAGAGACTAGACCACGTTCTTCAGCCAAAGTCACCATAATTCACCGATGGCCCTTTCCACACCGAAGCAATTGCAGTCCTAAACTCCTAAACATGATCTGGCCCCCCAAAAAAATCCCCAGCATCATCCACAGACCATCCGCACGGAACATCTGCAGACCGTGCATTGTCGCAGGGCCGCAACACGAAGGTGGAGAGCACACGGGGATCTCGAGGCTCGGGCAGACAGGGCATGAGTTCAGGGACCGAGCGAGTGAGGGGCGGAAGTGTTTTTTTGCGCAGTGCTCGCAGGCGCTTGGTGTTTTCGCGCGCATCGTGCGTGATTCACAGGACAGATGGGATCGGTCATGGTGTCCTTTTGTGGGGCATTGGTTTCTCAAGAATTTGATCATGTGGAGGTCACCAGAGGGAGATCAGGTTCATGTCTATGACTCACCGAACTGCAGTGGACCCCCTGGCGACAAACACTGAGGGGCTCCCACAATCTTCAATCGTACCAGCTTCCAAGACCAATCGGCGCATCGACCGCTTCGCAAGACCTTCATGTGATCGTTCTTTCAACGTGATCTCGTTTCGATGGCAACTGCTCGGCGCCATTGTCGTCCTTGTGTCCAAGATCCGTTCTGCTCGGCTGCGCACGGGCAACTGGTCTCCCTTGTTCGCAAGTGGATGATGGTCGACGGAAACTGCCTGGTGCTCAACTGACATGGGCGGGATGTGTTGGTCGGAAGTGCACGTGCAAGACAAGCGTGTGGTGCTGCTTGGCAAGCCCAGAACTTGGATGTCTTTGACGAACATGACGAAAACTGCACCCTGGTCGGACAAAATCCATCCACTATATACCCGGGGAGTAGACGAAAACTGCACACACACACACACACCCGGTATAAAAAAATGGATGGATTCGTTCCGACCAGGGTGCAGTTTTCGTCATGTTCGTCCTTTTCCAGGACGGACTCTCACTGCATGTGGACCGATTCGGTGGAGTTCTGCCGAAGGGTCCTCCGGTCCGAAGCTCTGCCGGTCCTCCTGGTCGCTGGTCGGTCGCTGCCGGTCCTCAAACGGAGAGCCGACACGAAGAGGAAGTGAAGTGCTTTGCAGATGAACATGGCACCGTTGAGGAAAACATCTTATAATCTATACCTGGATCTTCCAACGCCATGCCACATGTCTGCTGAACTTGGCTGGTTATTTGGTGATGAAGTTCGGCAGACATGTGGCATGGCGTCGGAAGATCCAGGTATAGATTGTTGTAGGAGGATATTTCGGGTCTTCCACGGGGTCCGTTCTTCAGGGTCGAGAAACCCAGTGTGAACTGGGCTTCTCAGACGTGACGGTAGCGTCGACGGTGCCACCGGGACGGTGCCCGGGCGTTGAACAATTCGATTGGATGCCGTGGATGGGGACAGACGAGGTCGTAGGTGGTGACCTGTTGGAGGGTTCTGGTAGACTCTTGATTGATCACCCCCATATGAAGAGGATGTCCAATTCAAACGGTGCGTTTATTAATCAAGAGTCTACATGCCTTCCGGCCGACCTGGTTGGTACTGTCAAGAACGTGGCCCACCTTAGAAGCCCGAAGAATCTCACCGGGGGACGAGGAAGGGAAGCGAATCGATCTCCTGGTTTTGCTTGAGGTGATCTTTGATTTTCCTTGTAAATCTTCTCTACCAGGACCCGACTTCACAGGTCACCACCTGCGGCTTTTAAGTCTACAAAAGCCTCCAAAGGAGACCTGTTGGAAGGTCCTGGTAGCTGGTGAAGACTAATTACTCGTTTCCAGGTTCCGTTTTCAGCCAAAGCCAAGCCGGGGCCAGAACAGCAATCGACGCCCGGACGGAGCTGGCAAGGTGATGGGACTGTTTGTCGTGACGACACTGGTAGTACCTGGCAACCGTACAGCTGTCACTGCCGTGTGCCCACTGGCACGTTCACGGATGAAGTGATGAAAACGGGATGCACCCCATCGACAGAACCGGGAGCCAAGCAGGTCCGCGGGAAAAAGTAGGCCCAGGAGCGACAAGCCTCCAACGTGTGGATCAGCACGTGACGCAGCCATGAGTCAAAGGCGCCATCATCGAGATGGCTGTGGGTCAGAACCTGAAGCCCTTTTTTTCACCTCGCCCTCAGAATCCGAATGGGCTCTCCATCGCAGGCGTTGGACTCGACACAAGGGGTCCAGGCCCTCAAAACCAAACCCGATTGGTTGCTTCGCGCCCGGTTCGCCTCCTTGCTTAGTCCATTCTGTTCATCTTCGGTCTGACCGGGGTCAATCCGAGTGCCATGACCCACCCGACGTGTTTGGCACCATGGACAAATCATGATGACTGGATCGTCCAACTGTGCAAACATTTCGGCATATTTCTGCCGAACTTCATCTATACAACCACCCTGGATCTTCGGACGATGCCATGCCACATTTCTGCTGAACTTGGCTGGTTATATAGATGAAGTTCGGCAGACATGTTGCATGGCGTCGGAAGATCCAGGTATCACCAACACTGTGTCATCCTGATCAACACATGCATCATTTTCTGATGTCCTGAGCAGACTCAGAGACCTGAGCAGTGATGATAGTCATGATAGTGATGGTTCCATGTTGAACCTCAAAGGGAATCTAGGCATATAGATGCGTATGGGGGTCCTATTGAAGGGTGTGTTGAGCTATGTTGAGCTTCTGATCATTTACGTTCTTGTCGAGGCCTTTGTTTGCGGGACATCCAACCTGGTCCTGGAACCTATGAGGCGAGTGAGCGTACCGGTGGCACGTGTCCCAAGTCATGTGGTCGATTTGGCTGACTCGAGCTTGTTTCTTGGCGCCTCCTCGTGCAAAGACCAGCTCGCACAAAAGTCTACCCAAGCAGCGCCAAAGTGTTGGAAAAACCGATGACTGGTAACATGGAACCTGAACATGGACCTTTGAAAAGACTGTTTTTCTCTACGTTTTGAGGTTCCATATATGTTAATCGTCCAGGGCGTATATCTTTGTAGGAAGAGTCGCCCGAAATGGTCCAACCTGACGAAGACGGAAGTCCGGGGTGCTTTGGTTTCTCTTTGCAGATTTCATGCACCTTAACAGTTAGAATGTAGTCTGACCAATCATCCAATTTCTTACTAGTATGAAGAGGGAACATCTTTCCTGTGAACAACTCACTGGATGGAGGTAGATGTAGACTGAAACCTGCCAGGCAAGACCCTGGGTAAGGAGCAAAAGATGGCAGCCGGATTAAGTGCAAGCTGGATTACGCATGATTAACTTCAACACCAGGCCATGACATGTTTGTTGACACACGTCGTGTGAGTTTCACACGCAGCTACTAGGATAGACCAGCACATGGCTACCAGTGGTCAACGATGTTGTTATCGATGCACATCGATGTAAAGCCCAGCCGACTTGCCGGGTCGCCCGACTTGCATCGGCATGCTTTGCAGGGTCGGACTGTGAGTGTATCAAATGTCCGCAGTTCCAGAAGGTAGGAGAATCATATATTCCACGTGCCTGAATGTAGGAGACTGGGGCATATATTCCACATATCTTCCACCATCTGGAGTAATTGTTTCTAGTAGCCATGCCCCTTTGCTGCCGTTCGTAGCGTCCTCTTGTTCCGAGCAGTATGGCACTCCTGGCCGCACTCCTCGCATCCGATCGCTCCGAACTCGAGTTGCCCATCCCAGGCGCCTCCCACCTGCCTCCATGAGTTGCCGGCGGCGCGCATCGGGAAGTCCAAGGTGCCCTGCGCCGGTCGCGCTCCGCGCGGCGCTGGAGGTGTTCATGGTCGCGAGACGTGGCGTTCGGTGGGTTTTTTCCTGGGCGCGAGTTGGCGTGGGAGGTGTTCAAGAGGGTTCTGAATGGCATTTCTTTGGACCTTTGGTTTCATGGAGGTTTCCATGGCATCTCTTTGGCATTTCTAGAACCTTTTTGGTTCATTGGTCGGGTGTCATGTGGGTGTGATTCATTTGTTTTTCTTTCCGTCGCATGAACTCAGATCTGCTGGGCTTTCTTGAGGCCGACATAGTTCCAGCAGACTCACAGTGGATCCCCGTTTGTATGATTTGGGTTGACGCCCGGGAAGATAAATATTGGAACCTGAGAACCACGTTCTGAACCACTGCTTTGTGGAGGAAGCGAATCTTCCAGTCTGGTCCATGTTCAGATATTTTCAGGTTACATGTGGGTCTCTTCGTGCTCGTCTATCCTAGCAGCGACAGCAGCGATGGACTGAAGAAGACGTTTCACCAAAGAAAGAGGATTCGATTCGATTTGTGATTTGTGGTGAAGGTTCATCATTGCTGCAGGGATTCCCAGCATCATCCGCTGCCACCCTTTATGGACAAATGATTCCTTGATCCGATGATTCCCAGTCCCGAACATCTTCCACCCGTTTCTGGGCCATGTCTTCACTGATCAGACACACCCAGCCATTTCTCCAAGCAGGGACGTTCGCCGAGTCGCCCCGTGCGACGGGCACCGCGCCGAGCACCGCGCCGACGAACGCCCGCACGCCAGGTGCCTGGTTTGGTGGATGAAGCCATTAAGGCCGCCGTAAGCCGGACGAAGCTGGTTGTGAATGGAGGAGACCAAAAAGAACGGACGGCGGCGTTTAGTGGTTGTTTTACTTGATTCTCTCGTGGCAGGAGGTTTAGGTGTGGGTGTGGCGTCGGAAGCCCCGGTACGTACAACGAGCGTCCGCAGCGGCTGTGGAAAACGGAACGTCCCGACGTGCCGAGGATTGGAGGATGCCGCAGTCAATCTCGAGTGCTCTAAGATGCTCTAAGTCTAAGTACGCAATGAGGACATGAAAAAGATTGAAAACGTATTGAAGACACGGAATTGATTGAAACATATTGAAACTAGTAGCCTGAGGTAGAAGTTCTGGGAGTACAACAAGGTTTGGCCAGTTGCTGAACTGTGGGATAGCTTGGCCAGTTGACATGTTTCACCCCCAAAACAGCAAGTGCTTGGGCCCCCATGCGATGGCATGCTGTTTTTCATGTTCTTGTTCTTTTGAACAGTACCAAACCCCGAACTTCCAATGACTCATGAACTACTCCATCCATCCATCCATCCATCCATCCATCCATCCATCCATCCATCC